CCCACGGCCTAGTGCTCCAGGTGATCCCTGTGTACTCAGTGACTGGCCTATAAAAAAAAAAAAAAAAAAAAAAAAAAAAAAAGGTAAGGGCACCTCAGTGGAAACAGGTCAGCATTTGGATGAACCCCGCCCACTGGTGGGGGACCCCACCTGACGTGCCGGTTCGTTTGAGGGCTTCCAAGACTTTTTGCCCACGCTTGGGGGCAAACGGGTGCAAGCTTCTTTTTTTTTTTTTTTTGTGGCGCGATGGACCACGAATCAGATATTAAACTGATCAGAACAGATAATACACTCGATCTATCTCAGCCAAAAGGCCGAGAAAGGTATGTTGAGTGCAAGGTTTTGCCGCAGGGGTATTCACTAAAACTTCTTCCCAACATAATGTTCTATGGATAAGTCCCGCCTCGCAGTTCATCATTGATTTCTCTGGCGTACCCCACCACCAGTACTTTTCCAGTCAAATATCTCCGACCTGCGGTGACTCTCAGGGCTTGGCTCTGATTTCTCTGGTGTACCCCACCACCAGTACTTTTCCAGTCAAATATCTCCGACCTGAGGTGACTCGCAGGGCTCGGCATGCAGAACCGAGACGGCCGTAACACCAGCCAGAATTTCCGTGCCGCAGATTTGTGCCATCTTTGATGTGATGGTCTTACATTACGGAGAAACTCGAGGTGGGAGGAGCCCAGAACTGAGACCGCTGGGATGCGTTGTAGTCCCCCCTCCAGTGGGTGAAGCTTGAACTTAGTAGGCCATACCACCGTACTGTTCCTTACCTGCCCATGGCTTACTCTCCCGATTCTCCCCTCCTCCCCACCCTTTCCTTCGTCCCTAGATGCCGTGCAGGACTGCAGAGCCTACCTTCTGCCCTTGTATGTCAAGCTTATTCAAGCATACAGACACAGAGATGATGGCCGTAATCTACACCAACATGCATGGCAGATCGCAAAAGAAGAAAAAGATAACACACCAAGCCATACAGATTAGACAGGTGTCCGGAACACGACCTTTTTTTTTGTTAACAACACACCCCCTGCAATGCTAGTGCTGCTGGTAAGAGCAGGCATCACTAGCACCAGGGGAGAGGCTCCATCTATTGGTGGGGAGCATCACCTGCTGGAAAACGGGTCCGGCGTCCCTTGCACAGAATGAATCAGGGGAATGTCAGGAAATATGACTGAGAAGGACGCCTGCCAGCATTGATTACTCTGTCTCCAGAGGATTGACTGTGCAGGTTGTTGGGAAAAAGGGAATAAACCTCTTCGCCCTGTTCCAGGCGCCAGATTCCTACTGCTGAGAGACTACTAAGACTAGTTCCTCCCTCTCCCAACTACCTTTTAACCAGAAAACTTCAACCCTCCATGCCGCACTATCAATCCCTCTGTTCCACTCGATGACCTGGATGATGACAGTTTGTCTCTTCAGAGATACTGCTTCTGTCTTTGATTCTTGAACTGGATGACTGGCCGCTTTGTGCGGACATAGTCTCGCTGCCTTTGGCCTTCTGCCAGCGCTCTGAGGTGGGGGGTGCGTTCCCTGATGGGCACCGGGGAGCGATTGACACACCTTTACGACAGGATCTCTGTTAAGGAGAGGGCATTGTGGGGGAGAAGGGTCCGGGAAATCAGAGGGTGGGCGGGAAAGAGGATTCAATACAGGTCCAGTCCCTGAAAACCAGTCTGTAGTCTCTTGCTCCCTCCAGGACTTGGTTACTATCCGGGACATCCCTACTCCATTCGACCATTGCTATCCACCCTCCCCTCTCCCCCCCCAGCCATACTCTACTAAAATTTGTGATTGCCCGTTGCACATCTCCTATTTGCGGATACAGGTCCAGTTGGGTTTTCAAGGCTAGGCATCTGCGTGTTAACTGGACTTCTTGTTGTATTTGTTCTGTGATCTCCACTGCTACACATACCTATTCCATGGTCAGTAGGCGCCGCTGCCACCATAAGGCCCACAGCACTGCTCTCCTCCCCAGCCTATACATATTTTCTGTGAAGGCCGTTTTTTCCTGCAATGACCAGTGCCCCGCCAGGATTGCTTGGCAGGACCAGGGCCAGGGGCTTTGTATGTGACGCGCTAACCTCACGCCCTGTGCTGTCTTCCGTTCGGAGTGCTAAAGGTGCGGAAAGAAGGCCCAGAAAAACAGCAATATGGGGTGTGCCAAGGATTTTTGGAAAATTGAGTGTGGGGACACAGACAGAA